ACGGTACAAAGTCAGAGGGGTCAAAACCAAAAGTATGATACAGGTGTCAGTAGTGCGTGTGTCCTCCACGGGCTTTTACGCACGCTGTGCAGCGACGTCGCATGGAATTAACCAATGTTTGAAAGAAGGCCTGGGGCAAAGTGTTCCATTCTTGGACAAGAGCAGCTTCTAAAGCAGCAATGGTGTGCATCTCTGGTCTCCGATACAGACGGCGTCCAATCTCATCCCAGACATGTTCTATCGGTGCCATGTCCGGAGACATGGCTGGCCAGTCCAAGACATTGATGTTGTTAGCAGCCAGGTAGTGCATACTAAAACGGGCGGTATGCGGACGTGCATTATCCTGTTGGAAGTGCTGAAGTTGTGGGTGCGGTTGAAACATCGGAACAACAATTGGTTGCAAGACATCATCAAGGTAGGCTACAGCATTAACACGACCCCTGCAAATGTGTAGGGCGGTCCGGTGATGAACTGTGAAGCCTCCCCACACCATTACACTTCCCCCACCCCATCGATTTGTTTCGAAGATGCAGCAGTCTGCAAGACGTCCCCACACACGTTGACGGCCATCAGCGTGATAAAGCGACTCTCATCACTGAAGAGCACACTTTGCCAGTCTACTCTTCTCCATGTCTGGTGTCCTTGAGCCCATATCAAACGCTGCTGACGGTGATGATCCCTGAGGATAGCTCCAACATAAGGTTGTCTTGCACGGAGTCCTACTTCTCTTAGACAACGTCTTACGGTGTTGGCACTTACTGGTCCTTGTCTTCCGACGACTGCTGCACCTGTTCGAGTCGCTGGGCGGAATCTGTCACGCAGATGAGTGACCCGGATGTAGCGGTCTTGAGTCTGGGTTGTAACGCGTGTGGACCAGGACGTTGACGGTCACGTGTTGATCCAGTAACTCGAACACATTCCACCAACCTTACAATAGTGGACTGATGACAATTGAAGTGTCTGGCAATAGCATGTGTAGACATGCCAGCCCGGTACATTCCCATGGCTTGATTTTCAGTAAGTCTCAGCATCTCTAGCTCGTCCAACAACAAATTGACGTTTCACAGTTCATGTACTGCACATTAAGTTGAAAACATGCTTTTAAAGGGCTCACACACAATGTTGCACGTGAATAATGGGTTTTTCATGTGCATCTCGTGCAATTTTTTTTTGTGCACACGGGCCGATATTTTTTGCATTTGGGAGCATTGTGTGAAACAATAGTTCATAGTATTGCATAATATTATACATACAAAACCAGTCTAGTAATAAAATATTTGGGAAAAAAAGTGGTTTTCCATGGCGCTCAGTATATATCCCAATCTTTATTCTGATCAACAAATTGTACTATTTTACAATATTCCAATTAATTGATGATATAAATCTCATCTTAACACACCTAACTTAGAAAATTGGAAAAATTCAACTAAATGATTTGAAAAGCCTAACGTAAACCTTTTCAAATGTGACTTGGATTTAAAAATATTTTTGAACCCTCTGGACAAGTAAAATAGGATTTAATGGATAATTTACACAACAGGTAAGACACTAACACATCTACATGTAGTACTTAGAATAAGGCTATTTTTTTATTTTCTGGAGCTGTCAAGCCAGCAAGAGTGTTATTGTCCCTTTAAAAAATCAACCTGTGGGTATACACAATTTGTCAATAAGCAGTGATAATTCTAACAGGACCGCCGGTCGTGTGGAAAAGTGAGCGAGAGGTCATTTGATGTAAAAAAAAAAAAAAAAAGCTATATTACAGCGTTTGCAGTCTTTGTGAAATGAACACTTGGGAGTTTATGACAGAAGACAGATGAGAGTCGGTATTGCGTTTCAACTGCAGATGGCAGGACCAGAATATGGCGTCGACGTGGCCAGCGTTATTCTGACCAATGTGTCATGGAACTAGACTCATGGGGAGGTCCAAGCATAATGGTTTGGGGTGGAATTGGCCTGAACCAGAGAGTGGGTCCTGTGGTGTTCCAAAATCTTGGTTCAGGGAGAGGAGGCGGCATCATCACAGCAGTGCGCTACATCGATCACGCTCTCAGACTCCACGTCATACCACATTTTGCACGTCATCGAAACAACGTTTTCCAGCATGACATCATCCATGCCGACACGGCCAAAGTTACTCAGGACTTTCTACAGCAGAACAGTGTCAAAGTTATGCGCTAGCCAGCCCTTAGTCCGGGCTTAAACCCGATTGAACATCTTTGGGATGAAATTCAGAGGAGACTTAATAACGTCGTACCGAGACCAAACACAGCCAATGGATTGCGCCAGGCTTTTCTGAGAGTGTGGTTCCAGGTGCCAATGGCATCCTGAATCAATCGTCTGGTCCACTCCATGTACAGATGCTGCGCAGTGGACACACCAGATACTGATGTATAGACTGTTTACAGACTCTAAACCTTCTCATAATGTCTTGAAATTGTGATGAATTAATCACTAATGTGTCGACATACTGTTCACAAAAATTGCTTTGATCCATTTAGTAAGCCATTTTCTAGAATGATTTGATTAATATGCCTCTCTGATTTTGAAATTGTAGTTCGTACTGACGTTTTTATACGCCCACCTTTTCATGTGGACGTATATTGTCGTCGCCCCTGTCCATCCACAATTGTTTGTGGACCCTATAGAGGTCACAATTTATATCCGATTTTGACGAAACTTGAAATATGGCTTTATCTCCAAAAGATCTTGGTTGCTTTCGATATTGGCATTTATCAGATCGAAACTTCGTAGGTTATAAGGATGTAACGGTTCAAAAATTCTTGAACCGGTTAACTGATTGTTAAAAACCCAACCGTAACCGGTTAACCAATAAAAGTTTTCTATCAAAATATTTGTTGCACCAAAATATTAGTATTACATCTTTTAAGTTAACGTACAAATTCCATTCATTCATTCATTCTTGATGTTTCTTTTCTCCATCTTGTGCGTGCTGACAGATCATGTAATGACGTATAGACCAGTTGAATTAAAATGTTGATTTTTTTCGAACAAAAGCTTCACTAATACTTCATAAGATTAGTTATGAAATCAATATTTGAAAGCATACCTTTGGATTTTTAAATATAAAATAAGTTTGATTATTCAACATCAGCTAATTCCAAAGAATTTACTACACGTGTTGCTATCACAAGCCTTGCTGTATCGTATGGTACCAATGACCCGAAAGCCGATTAGTAATTTTTTGAACCGGTTCAACAGTGCAACCGAACCGTGACCGGTTAACCGAGTGACCGTTTACATCCTTTATAGGTTATGGCCCCTGATTGTACGGAAAATCATGTTTTTAACTTGTGGACCCTATAGAGGTAATAATTTTAAACCGATTTTGATGAAACTTGAAATGCATGTTTATAACCCAAAGATCTTGGTTCCTTTCGGATCGTAACTTCCTGAATTATGGCCCCTGATTGTATGAAAAATCGCCTTTTTTGGCTTGTGGTCTCTCTGGAGGTCACAATTATTATCCAATTTAAAAAAAACCATTTGATTATATCCCCGTTACACCATAATGAAAGTTGAATTCAAATTTCGAGAAAATTGGACCAAAATTGCTGGACAAAATGGCCACTGCTTGTACACGAATAAAGTAAAAAATATGGTATGTCAAGGTTGTGGACCCAGTAGAGGTCACAATTTTAATCCTATTTTGATGAAACTTGAAATGCATGTTTATAACCCAAAGATCTTGAATCCTTTAAATATTTGCGCATATTGGATCGGAACTTCCTGAATTATGGCCCCTGATTATATCCGAAAAATTGCCTTTTGTAGCTTGTGGTCCCTCTAGAGGTCACAATTGATTATATCACTGTTACACCATAATGAAGGTTGACGTCAAATTTCATGAAAATTGAACCAAAACTACCGAACAAAATGGCCGCCGCTTGTACATGAATCGTGTAAAAATATGGTATATCCAGGTTGTGACCCTGTAGAGGTCACAATTTTAATCCGATTTGGATGAAACTTTAAATATATGTTTTTATCATAAAGATCTTGGTTCCTTTTGATAATCACACATATCCGAAAGTAACTTCCTGGATTATGGCCCCTGATTGGTCGAAAAATCGCATTTTAAGCTTGTGTATTCTCTAGGGGTCACAATATTTTTTTACGATTCCACCATAATGAAGGTTGAATTGGAATTTCGGGAAAATCGAAATGAAACTGCCCGAGAACATGGCCTCTCTTTGTCTGCACGGGTGGTTGGATGGCTGAATGGTTAGCACGTGCGCGCTGTATCATAAGGCCTGTCATTTGAGTTCCTGGTTGTACGTGACAAGGAGTAGGGTCGCCTGTCAAACCTCGTGAGTTTTCTCCGGGTCCTCCGGTTTCCTCCCACTGCTAAAGACCCCATACGCGCAAGCGAATTGTTGAAATAAAATTAAAACCATATGTTAGTCCCGAAATGACCTAGTTTGTGTCGAGTGGACGTTAAAACCCATTTCTCTCTCTCTTTCTCTTTGTACCCATATTGTGTATAAGTATGTAATACAAAGGTTATGGACCCTCTAGAGGTCACAATTTTTATCCAATTTTCATGAAACTTAAAGCATATCTTTATATTCCAAAAATCTCAGTCCCTTTTGATATTTCCGCATTTCAGACCATAACTTTCTGGATTATAACCCCTGATTGTACAAAAAATCTTTTTTGTTTTTAGATTGTTCTCTATCCATCACTTGCAAAATGTAGGCGTATCCTGCCTGGCAGTCGCTGGTTTTGGGTTTTTTTTGCTGTTTAGTATATTATAGCAAGAACAGCTAGCTCTTTATCTAAATGTTACATAATGTATGTTTAAATATTTCCAGTAGAAGACCGAATCCTGATCGAATTTAACTAACATGAAATAACTAAAAACAATTTGAATTGCCCTTTAAATTTGTAACTAAAGTCAAAAATTTACAGAGTTCTGTTAGTAGGCACCTTTTAGTAATAACTAACTTGTTGTTAATCAGGTTTTCACATCATTTCAGGGATTATCGTAGACCACCAACTTTACAAGGAAGTCCAATCCATCATTATATTGTTCCAGCCCACCAGCATCAAATGGCCATACCAACAGGTGTCGGACAGTATGGTCCATTCTCACAAAATGTAGCCCCGCCTCCTGCTCACCAGAGTCCGCGACATGTTCAATATACAACCCATCCTTTACCAGCCCATATACATCCTGTACTTCACACTTCGAGTATCCCAACCTATCACTCCCAGGTGCATCCACAATATGCTGGTACCAATTATCTTAATTCTTCAGGAATTTATACAGCCTATCAACTAAGTCCAATCAAAACACGTCAATATCAGTATTTGGCAGGATAGATGATAGTGGGTCAACTAGATGATGGTGAGACAGAGATTTATGATTATATAAAGTGCCAGTTTAATTGTAAATATTTCCAAGAATTGTTTAACTTTATTATTAAATTATGTGACACTTGTGCTGAATCATGTGACACTTATGCTATCAGATTAGCCAATCAGCTTCCAGTACATATTTCTACAATATTTTATATGGCTTCAAGAAACGAATTTAATCTGTCTCCGTAATTAACAATATGATTGATTGACATTTTCGGTTGTGATAAACTCGACAAACAAAATGAACTGAATCATCTTAGCATTTTAACTTTCACCTCTATTTTAACAAGTGATAAGCAGCTTATTTATCTTTGTACTAACATAAAAAAAAATATTTTTCTTGTTGGTGTATGTTGTTACATCCACTCCCTACATTTTATTATTAATCATTTATTATTATTATCTCGTAATTGTATTTTAAAACTTGGATTGAGTAATTAGTTATTTTAAATCTTTTTTTGAAGATCAGTATGGGATCAGTAGATTTTAGCATGTTTTGTGTGTTTGTTCATGTGGGTGTGTGTGGTATTTTTTCTCCTTTTTATTATGTTAATATTTTGAAATTTTGGAATCAGATTTTTCTATTTGATTCCTGTTGTTGTTAGTATGGTGGCCTTGCTATGATGTTACTTATGCAGTTCTATTTTATTCACATTTTAAATGGTATGTAAATTTGGTGATGTGTATTTCTAAAAGGAGTGTGGAGATATAGATATTATAGCATCCTTATGTAGTATTTTTAACATCTTATCAAAATATATAAGAAAGTATTATTCTGTGATTTGCTATGTGGATTCCAATGTTAATAATTTGTTTGTTTTACTATATAATATTCACTTATAGTCCTAAGATGCATGTTTTTAAATAATGGACAGTCACTCGTATAAATGTATAGATATATATTACCTACCAATAGTATATTGTATACCCAGATTTTATTACCATAATTTAAAGGCTATTTTTCTAGCATAGAATTTGATTAATTACATATATAGAATTTTATATATATGTCTTAAAAATTTTAAGTACAAGTACGACTTGAAAACCAAAACACAAACAAGTCATATTTGTATTTTTTTGTGTTTTTTGTGTAAATATTGGGCCATACAAAAAAATATTCAGTTTCTCAGACTATTGAGCTAATTAACACATGACACAATTATATGGAATTCTTTGCTTGATAAGAGGGGTTGGATGGCTGAATGGTTAGCACGTGCGCGCTGTTTCGATTCCCCGGTTGTACGTGACAAGGAGTAGGGTCGCCTGTCCAACCTCGTGGGGTTTTTTTTGGGTCCTCCGGTGTTATTGAAATAAAATTGAACCATGTGTTAGTCCCGAAATGACCTAGTTTGTGTCAAGTGGACATTAAATCCCATTTCTCTCTCTCTCGCTTTGCGGGCGAACCCTCATGGAAACGTCGCTGAAAATAAACCCTTCAAGTAACTTGTATTCCATATAATTGTGTCATGTGTTATTCTCATTCAGTTACTAAATGCCCCTTAAATAATTTATTGAGCTAATTGACATCTTACAAACAACACATTTCAAGGTTCTACATTTATCTCATCTGTTTAGTATTTCACTTATATAATTACTATTCTTGCGTTAAATAGACCTTGTTTACCGTAAGCAGTAACTAATTGTTATCTCATTTTACAAACGTATACATAGATTTCATGCTTTGCTATCTCCTGATAACGATGAGTTTACAATTATTCAATGCAATTTTTGATTCTCAACATTTCAACAAGAAATGTTTAATGGGGTTACTTCCCTTTTATTCAGGACATGAATGTGCAATAATTTATAAGAATGTTTTTATTTATGGGGAGGTATCTGAGAAACAGAATATTTTTTCATATGGCCTTACGCATATATATAGAGAGGATATATTTTACTGCCATGATTATGTATTTCTAATATACAAGACAAATTGGTGCACTAATTATTAAAGAAATTGTATGTAAAAAATAGTATTTTTTTGTCTAGTTTCCAAAATTTTTATTGTATGTATTTATAGAGACTTTGAATGTAAATGTAGATATTAATTAGTCGATTTAAATATATATATATATTGTAAATTGTACATTTTTAACTAATAATTCTTGGTAATCATTTATTCAAGTCATTCAGAATGGTCAGAGAAAGATTTGAATGTCATAATTGTTAGGTTTAGCCTCAATTTACATAGCAGTTGCATAGTAAAATACCTCTTTTATGTGAGCTTTTAATGCTACATAATATAACAGCAAATTTAACTGTATCAGAAATTCGGAACCTATGTCTGCAACAACAAAAAATGTAGCATTTTAGATATATTTCTTGAAGGGAGTAGTGTGTGTACAAAAATAGCTTTATGTGATTGGCTTGTTGATATGCGAATACAAAACAAGGGAAGACTTTAGGTAGATCACTCCCATCATTAAAATGGCTTGTAAACTGAAAGGTCAAGCTGGGTGTATAGTTAGTGTAGGAAAGATGTATTCTGAATGCTATTGATTAAAGAGATGTGAATCACACCTATCTGTATTGTAATGTTTGAGAGTTTTTATGCAGTAATGTACCAGCATGTTACGACTTGTGATATTAAACCACAATGATTAGCAAGTATTAAACCAAAGCCTACTATGTAACACTGTTTTATAAACCTAGAATAACTTTGTCTCTTTTTAGTTCATAGAATGTATGTAGTTTATAGTACTTGCATACTAATTTCATTTCTTTAGTTGTTTTTTAAAAACATTAGAAATTAGGTATTTTTGCATTATTAGCATTAAATGTTTATTTAAAAGACATTTTTACCAACTACTTGGGCTTTATTTTATCTGTGAAGAAATTGAAACATTAATTATTTTCTCAAATCGGCATAGAGAGGATGTATTATATAGCATGTGTATTTGTTTTGGTGTGTATTTGGATTAGTAATCACTATTTATTCAACTTGTAGCTTCTAATTACTTAAAATTGATTCTTAATTTAGCATGTTTTTGATTACTGACTGTTGTTAGAGGGTATATTTAGTCCATATTAATATTGTAATTATTGTCTTTTATCATTTATTATTATATAGATGCTTCATAATCAAATAGTACATGTACTTAATTGTGTGTTTTAAGCCCCCTTAATACTCCTTTCCCTTTTTTTTTTCTTTTTTGCAGATTTATTTTTTTTTTTTTTTTTTCTCTCTTTTTTTTTTGCATTTTTTGGAAGAGGTCTCATATTTATATCATTCTAGAAATTAAATTACTTGATGGTTAATTAATTTAAAGATTGTATAGTATCTATTTTTTGGTGTGTATAAATTGAATTTGTTGATAAATTGTGAAAACAAGTATTTTGTAATAATTCTATGAATTAACTGGATGTAAAATTGTGTCACTTTGTTTGCTACCGGTAGTTTGAATTACATAAATTATAGAATTTATCACTTTAATTTTTCATCATCATAGCTCATTTTTCAAGACTGGTTCAATTTGTCACAAACTTTACATTTTATTTAATTAATATTTAACACTTTAGAAGTTTGGATTTCAATATGATTGTCAATAATAGATGGCTTGGCTGTTGGAATCAATTCACATCCCTGTTTGATTTTAGTAGAATTCTGGAATTAACTAAATAACTGAGTAAATTATGTCATAGCCAACAGTTAACCTTTCAACAAAACAGTATCTTGATTTTTATTTGTACCCTTTATGAAATTTTATTCAAGTAAAGTGTTGCCAATTTTTAAAGTGGAAGTGACACTTCTGATATGTATCAATCGGCACATATATTTGAAATTACTTTCATCAATCGCACAGCAGAATTCCAAAATCAGAATTATCCTCTTATATGTTTTTAACAATTACAAGATATTGTCTGTTTTCATATATTGATTAATTTATTAAACAGTAAAACTTTGACCTAAGTATATTAAGATTATCATTAATTGTGCAAAAACTATTTTTACAGATATATGTTCATTTGTGCTCGTTGTCTTCCATGTGACGAAGTTGGTTGCGGTCGTGTTTTTCTCTTGAAAAATTTTTAAAAAAATATATAAAAATCTGTGTCCTCAAAATCAATATTAAGTTTTAGGGAAAAATTATTTGGTGATATAAATGTGCAGTTGAAGATGGTTCACTTTTAAGAATTTATCTAAGAATTGTTTCAACATTATTTAAATAATTTGAAAACAAAACCTTGATGGATTAGACTGCATTGAAAAGCCTTTATTTGAATAATATAAATATACCTGATCGCATCATCTCATTTGAAGAACTTAAAGATTGATTTAATGAGGTTCCACAATTATAAAAAAATATATACATGTTGTCTTTCCAAATACTTTCTGATCATCAGAAATTCCTGCCAATTTGCTATAACCAGTAGATCATTAGTTTAAGTTACTTAGATGTTTGACTTTGTTTTCCACATCACACATCACATTGCTGTGTTACATTTTAACAATAGCACCCTGTTGCTATTTTTTCTTTGGTTTTAATCCCTTTTCTTTTCGTTACTAGTCAGTGTAGTTTTAGAAGTGTGGATATATATTTGATGTATTATTTGATGTATCCAACAACATTTTTTTTAGCTAATTAATATTTAATTATTTATACTGGTACATGGTTACAGTAAAAACATGATCAACACCTCATTTCTTACCAACATTTACTGGCAGCTAGTTTTCTCTTCTAGTCTAAAATAGAACATTCTAACATATTGATCTTTAAATGTTATAAATATATTTCATTTTATATTTCCACTTAGAAGTTAATGGTGTCAGAACATTCAGAAAAATATTTATGGCCAAAATTGATCTTGAATGAAAGTGGAATATGTATATGGTCAAATATAAATAAGCTGGATGCTATCTAGAATTAATCTAGTTGTGGTTTTTAATGGTATTTGATTCATTTAACGAATACAGGTAGATGAAATTCAGACATTTTTGTTACCTGAAAACAACGGAAAATAACCATTTAATATTTGTCTAGTATTCTGATTTCTTATTCTTTGTCCAATATTACGAGAATCAAAACTAAAAGATATTTTCAATCAAAAAACAAATCATTTTATAAAAGTTCATGTAAATTAAAAGGTCTTTTTGGCTTTGTGTAAGGTTTGAAATATGGTTGTTGATCGGTTTGTTAGTTTTCAGGTGTGTGATGCCTTATACATATTAATGTAGGTACCACTTATTGCATTTTATTTTGTGTAAACTTCATAGCCAGCATTATATCATTTTATTCACTTAGTTAATATAATCACATAGTCATTTTCGTAAATTCTTTTAGCCAAATATAGTTTTCATTAATCATTATTTATGCTCTTATTACTTCATGTCTTAGATTTCATTATTTTAATTCAATTCAATTATTTTGTCAGTTTTAGTTTGTTCTAGAATATTTAATTCAAAAAAGTTTATGTAGTACTTAGGAGTTACAAATTAGCCAGCATTTGTTTTAGAAAATTAGAAATTTAATTTTAAATAATCTCACAGTATTTTTACAATCTTGTCAATGAAATTTTATCTTTTGATTTGTAATTTGCCCTTACTAAGAATTAACTTTTTACTGATTTTCATTTCCTTTCTTTATTGGTGTTAAATCAATGACAACAATATCTTCTCATATTCCACGGGTTCACTGTATATTTTAACTACTGTGCTAGTTTTCATATCAAAGTAAATGTATTTGTATTGGATATAACTATATTTTATTAAATGTGTTTGCAATAATCAATGTTAAATGTACTTTCTCTTTTAGCTTAGCACTGATTGGAATTTGACTTTTTAATTATTAACAAACCTCTTACAATTAAAATTATTAACTCATTATATTTTGTGTGATGTTATCTGCTTCAAGATTTTTCTGTTTGTGCATTTTGTGCGCGGTTAATAGTATGTATACCTATCATGCTATAATAATAATAATTATTATAATACATGGCTTTCTTTGAACTTATTATGGGGATAAATATATATATATATATATATATATATATATATATATATATATAGGGATAAAAATAAAGTATTCTTTAATTATTCAAAAAATGTGCTCTGTTGTTTTATTAACAAGATAGCCACACAAAGTGTGGAAATTTGCTCACACAGCAGCTATGTCCTGAAAAAAATATATAGCCATAGACAGCAGCTTATTGAAAAAAAATGTCTCTATGTTGACAAAATTACTGTATAAAGATGCCTTCAAGAAATTGATCTCTATTGTGTTTACAAGCTTTTCTGGACAAATATAGTAATTATCTCTGATCCTAATGCTTCACATCAAATTTGAAGAAAAACTGTAATCTTTACGTTAAGTTATCAGAAAAGGAGCATAACTACAGAACTGAAGGTACACTGACTATAAATAGGGTTCGTTTTCTCATGACCCGAATAAACACCAAATTTGAAAAGAATAACTATTACATAACCCGGAATAAGGGATTTAACTCCTGAAGGAAGTGTAACACTGAATAGAATATCGATCGGGTTTGTCCCCTCATTACCCCAATGCTTCATAACAAAATATTTGTTGAAACTGTAGCCTCTATATTGCATTAACAAGGTTTTCAGCATTGGGTAAATCACCCACCCCTTGGAAAAGAAGTTGACAAGAGAAAAATGACTCACAAAATGTTGGATGCTTTAAAGGTGCTAAATCGCTATTCTTTGGCACCTAGAAATAGACATAAATGGGTCGCAAGCATATAATGATGTATTATGTTTTTACTGTAATTTCTAATCGGTTATATTCAGCGAAATACGCAAAGTACCCAAATTGAATGGCAGTCTTTGGCATCTGGTTATTCCAGTCTACACCGGTAGTATTCTCCTGTGGGATATGTTTAGCCTCGTTCATCGAGTCGCTTATTACAAATGGCACTCAAAAGCATTCTGGCACATGATTCATGTGCCAATTTTTAAATTTTCATTTTATCTTAAATATTGGATATCATACTCCCATCTTTTCACAGTAAGATAATAACATCAATGTTGATTTAAACTGACCAGTACGTCTTGTTTGCAATTGTGTGGATGATGTTCGGTTAAAGTCAATGTATATCTGAATCAAATCACACTTATTGTTATATATGTACGTGGAATGGGGTTTAACGTCTCTTCCACACTTTGACGAGGTAATTGTGAGACTAACACACTGCCCGTACAGCAGTATTTTGGCCCACTCTTCGGATTCCTACTGCCAAGGTTCTTGAACGTGCACGCCAATGGAGTGCACCGGTGAATGTTGATAGTTCGTCCCATCTGGATGGATAGGTACGCTTTTTTGGTCAGTGCCACGGACGTTACCCCAGACCAATAGGAACCGGTTTTGAAAAATCAGAAAAACTCTTTTCAGCCCACACCGGGATTCAATCCCCTGCCATTCTAATCAAAGTTTAGTTCCCCAACCGTTCCACTTTCAAGGCCCATTAATATAATGTATGTGTATAATATTAATAATGTTGTTGCCAAAATGTAATTTTTATATGCCCACATGGAAATGTGGTCGTATATTGCTGTCGCCCCCCCCCCCCCCCCCCGGCCGTCGTCCACAATTTCTTGTGAACACTCTACAGACTAAATTTATCATATGATTGTTTTGAAATTGATATATGTTGTTAACATTAGTGAGATAAAAAAGCCTATTTAATTTCAATAATTTTCGTTAATTTCTTCTGGAGTTAAGGCTCTTGTTTCACTTTGTTAAACCTTGTGAACGCTCTAAAGACAAAAGTTATCATACAATCTGTATGGAATTTATATGCATCATTTAAATTAGTGACACGAAGAAGTGTATTGAATTTCAGCAATTTCCGTTAATTATGTCTAGAGTTATGGCCCTTGTTTCACTTTGTTGAGCCTTGTGAACGCTCCAATGACAAAAGTTATCATTCGATCTGTATGGAATTTACATGCATCATTTAAATTAGTGAAACGAAAAAGGCTATTGAATTTCAATAATTTTCGTTAATTTCTTCTGGAGTTATGGCCCCTGTTTCACTTTGTTGAAACTTGTGAATGCTCTAACAACAAAAGTTATCATCCAATCTGTATGGAATTTATATGCATCATTTAAATTAGTGAAACGAAAAAGCCTATTGAATTTCAGCAATTTCCGTTACTTAAGTCTAGAGTTATTGTTTCAGTTTGTTATTGTCCTTGTTTCACTTTATTGAACCTTGTGAACGCTCCAACAGCAAAAGTTATTATCTGATCTGGATGAAATTTATATGCATCATTTAGATTAGTAAAACAAAGAATCACATTGAATTTCATCAATTTTTGTTAATTTCTTCTGAAGTTATGGCCCTTGTTTCACTCTGTTGCACCTTGTAAATGCTCTAACGACAATAGTTATCATCCAATCTGTATGAAATTTACACAGATCATTTAAATTAGTGACACAAAGACTTTCAGCAATTTCCAATAATTATGTCTAGTTATAGCCCTTGTTTAACTTCGTTGAACCTTGTGAACATTCAAAGGACGAAAATTATCATCTGATCTGTGCGAATTTTATATGCATCATTTAAATTAGTGAAATGAAGAATCCTTTTGAATTTCAGCATTTTCAAACAATTACTTGTAGAGTTATGGCCTTTGTTGAACCTTGTGAATGCTCAAATGATGATAGTTATCATCCGATCTGTACGAAATTTATAAGCATTATTTAAATTAGTGAAATCAAGAATCCTATTGAATTTCAGTCGATTACTTCTAAATTTATGGCCCTTGTTTTACTTTGTTGAACTTGTGAACATTCAAATGGCAAAAGTTATAATCCAATCTGTATGAAATTTATATACATTATTTGAATTAGTAAAATGAAAAAGCAGGTCAAATTTCAACAATTTCTGTAAATTACTTCCAGAGTTAATGCCCTTATTTCAGTTTGTAGAACCTTGTGAACCCTCAAACAACGAAAATTATAATCTCATCTGTATGAAATTGTCTTGTAAATAAATGCCCCCAATTATCTACAAAAGAATAAATATGTGACAACCCGTTGGCCTCTCGGATGATTTAGCTGCTGTGGGCGTATGTTCGTTGCCTGGCAACCTAACTTTCTATTCAATTAGAAACTTTTCCATTTTAGATACACTTTTAATTGTATAAATTTAATGTTTTCATTAATGATTTCGTTTTTACTTGGAGTGCTTTTGTTTGCAAGGGGTGTCAATAGTATTGCCAGATTTGATCTGTAAATAGGCCTACTAAACATTTCAAAAAAGTTTTAACAGTCTATTCCACATGAAGGTCTTGTACTCTGGTGTAGTAAATTACATAGCAATTCTTTGCATTAAATCAGTACATTTTATGTTCGACTTTCAAGATATATGTGAAGTATTTGGCTCGTCGGGCTAGAACTATTATGCTCCATTTTTGTACGCCCACACTGAAATGTGGACGTATATTGCCGTCGCCCCCGTCCGTCGGTCGGTCCGTCCGTCCATCGTCCACAATTTCTTGTGAACGCTCTAACGCCAAAAGTTATCATCCAATTGTTTTAAAATTGATATGTTGTTTACATTAGTGAGATGAAGAAGCCTATTTAATTTCAATAATTTCCGTTTATTACGTCTAGAGTTATAGCCCTTTTTCACTTTGTTGAACCTTGTGAACGCTCTAATGCCAAAAGTTAATATACGATCTTTGTGAAATTTATATGCAATATTTAAGTTAGTGAATCGAAGAAGCCTATTGAAATTCAACAATTTCTGTTTATTATGTCTAGAGTTATGGCCCTTGTTTCACTTTATTGAATCTTGTGAACACTCTAACTCCAAAAGTTATCTGATCTTTCTGAAATTTACACGCATTATTTAAATTAGTGAAATGAAGAAGCCTATTGAATTTCAGCAATTTATTACGTCTAGAGTTATGGCCCTTGTTTCACTTTATTGAACCTTGTGAACGCTCCAACGCCAAAAGTTATCATTCAATCTTTGTGAAATTTATATGCATTATTTAGATTAGTGAAACGGAGAAGCCTATTGAATTTCAGCAATTTCCGTTTATTGCATCTAGAGTTATGTCCCTTGTTTTACTTTATTGATCTTTATGAACACCTGATCTTTGTGAAATTTATATGCATGATTTAAATTAGTGAAACGAAAAAGGCTATTGAATTTCAGCAATATACAATAATTACTTCTAGAGTTATGGCCCTTGTTTCACTTTGTTAAACCTTGTTAATGCTCGATTGATGATAGTTATCATCCGATATGTATGAAATTTATATGCATCATTTAAATTTGTGAAACAGGTCTATTGAATTTCAGCAATTTCCGTCAATAATTTCTAGAGTTATGGCGATTGTGAACGTTTGAATGACAAAAGTGATCATGTGATCTGTATGAAATTTATATGCATTATTTAAATTAGTAAAACGAAAAAGCCTGTCAAATTTCAACAATTTTTGTAGATTACTTCCAGAGTTGAGACGCTTGTTTCAGTTTGTAGAACCTTGTAAACCCTCAAACGACAAAATTTATAATCTGATCTGTATGTAACTGTCTTGTAAAGGCCCCCCGATTACCTACAAAGGAATAAATATGCGACAACCCTTGACGACCGCTCGGACGATTTAGCTGCTGTGGGCGTATGTTTTGTTGCCTGGCAACCTATCTTACATAATGTAGCAAAGCTTTCTGACCACTAACTCTGTATTATTTCCTTACCTTGTAAAATTATATATTTAGGAATACAATTAAAATAAATTTGTGCTTTTTGGTCAAATTTAGAACCCAGTTATAATTCATTTTCAAGATGAACTGATAATATAATATTACCTGAATAATGTTTTAGAAAAATATCAGTTCAGTATATGAAAATGTGTTATAAAAGTCTGATGGAATTATCTATAACAAATATCCAGAAGATCTTCTAAGATTGCTCTACAGTGACCTATAGTGACGGATATTGTGCATGAGACTGTGCATGCTTACTTTCCCTGATATACCCATATTAATTATTTTGATAAATCACACTGCTTAAAATTTTATTGAACTTTTGCATGGCAGTAAATGTTACT